ATAACAAATATTTCATAAATTGAATGGAATTCTATTGGAAAACAGATTGAAAGATACTTTTTGAATTGCTGCATAAACTGTAGCAATGTTTTGTTATATATTCATTAAGTCATTTTGTTCTGAAGCTTATAAGGGAAAAATCAATCATTGTTGAGAAAAATGCTGGAACCAATGGGGTTGATGTTATCAGCAAAGCTGTTTTCTTTAAGTTTAATTAACCTGAAGATTCAATCTCGCCCTGAGAAATGATTTTGTGCAAGCCTGCACCATCATGTAGGAGGTAGCCTGAGTAGATCTGAGCTTTGTTCTGCCTTTTTACGGGCTGAGAGAACCGCAGAAATGGAAATGAAATGTACCCTGAGCTGCATGGGCAAGCCCAGAAGGTCAAAGCAGATGTGCATTTGCATATTTATGCCCAGAACAGACACTTAAAAACTTGGAACATATTATGTTTATTTAAGAGATCCAAGTCTGCACTTGCCCATGAAGCAGAGAGAAGATGCATGTAGAGATCAAAGGAAGTATTTAGCTGTAGCCAGATGTAAGGAACATTTTTATTATAATAATCTACTACATTATGCTACACAAACAGAGCTGCAGGTCTTTAGATGTGGTATGCTTGCAAATGTATTAATACCCTTTGAGCTTTTGTCATGTTACAACACCACACTCAAATTTATTTTATTTTCTTTTTATGCAATGGACCAACATACAATAAATAAATGCAGTGACGTGCGGCGAGGCACTGACTTCTCTACAAATGCATAATATCCAAAATAGAAGCTTGTATTTCTATTTTTCCTTTAACTGGAGAATTTTGTTGCTAAAAACTTTTGATTGTTTTAACATGGTTCAGCTGTAGGATGGTAAGAAAAAAAGGTTTTTTTTTTTTTAAAGAAAAACTATGTAGGAACTTATCTGTATTTGTTTATAAAGTCAATGAGTTCCACTAGTTGAATGCAGGGTCTGTCAGCATGACATGATGCTGCCACCACCATATGTCACTATGGGAATGCTATGCTAACTTTAGTTTTCTGCAGCACAGATTATTTTGCATGTAAATTTTCCATATTTATTGTTTCCGATTTGTGTTTGTTGCATAAAATTTTAATGAAATACAGTTTGTGGTTGTAACGTGACAAATTATGAAAAGGTTTAAAGAGGTATGACTACTTCTGTAAGGCCCTGCCATTGTTGAAATTGAAACATTTTACAGCTCTACATGTGAATTTGTTGTGTTACTTTAGGCGATGTTCTCTGCACATGGGTGGATGTCTCTGAATATTTCTGATTGTAATCCAGGAGAAACTAATTAAGGTTTGTTCTGAAATTCAGCGTCTTCATTCTTGCTGATGGTAGAATGTTGATGCTCTTCATTCTTCCATCTGTGGCTCTTTAGTTGTGCTCTTTTGTCTTTCAGTTTTTAGCCTTTATCTGTCTACACCTTAAAGTAGATGCATGCTAGCATTAGAACATAACAGCAATTTGCTCATTTCTATATTAATTACCAGTGAGCATGTTTAATTAACATGTTTAGCGCTTGTGACAAACACCTTTCCCTGCACGCCACAGAAGGTTAATGCTCGATTACTGATTTCTTTGCATTCTAATCATCTCTCAGGGAGTGTCTGTCCTTGGATCATTTCTGCCCATAGGACTGAGAAGCTCTCAAGACTGGAGTTGTCGCTTCTTTAGATCAGGAATGAACCTCGCCCCGCCTGTCAGCACCTCGGAGCTGATGGTTTTCAGAAACATAATTATACACAAATACCTGCCATTCAAGCCAAGCCGTTTGTTTGCGAGTACAATGCAAATGAGAGAACAGGCTGCTGACGTAGAAAACAAGATGTTCTCATGTTTTGCTTTTTGCTCTATTAAGCCGTGCGGCTCTGCTTGTGTGATTTAGAGCATTTGGTGGCGCTCCTGGTAAAGCTGTGAGAAAATCCTTAAAGTGCAGCCATCTTTTATTGCAGTAGTTTAATCTCAAACTGAAAAAATAAACTACACAGAAAAAAATCCCACGTGAAGAAATTATAACTGCAGTTTTATACTTTTGTCATTATGGCGGCAGAGACGTGAGTTTTCTCTTCAGCTCTCCTACTAGGTTTTATTAAGGTTCAGTTTTGATCTGATATAGACATTAAAATGGTTTAATAACCATTCTGTCTTGATTTAATTGCATATTTTCAATTGCTTTCCTGATGATCCAGCAGATTCTTATTTAAAATCTGCTGGTATTTTAGTATTTCTGATGTCATCCCCTCAAATGCGATTTCCAGGGTATTTAAAAGAGAAACCAGCCCACAGCATCACAGATCCTCCACCATACTTAACAGATTTTTCACACATTTACTTACCAACTAATACGCATGACAGAGCAAATACTATTTTTAGAAAATGCTTATTCTCTAACCACACCAGTCATATGATTTATGTCACTAAATCAAATCTAACAAGCCACATAATTTTGGGAGGTTTTAGACGGCATTTATTGAAATTTATTAGTATAACAATGAATCAAAACTATCATAATAAATTTGTCACAGTCAATGATATTTATGCCCACCCTTAGTCTATACATCTGCCTTTAGATGAACTGTGTGTTCTCCTCTCTTTCCTGTTTTGTAGAATGACTTGGACAAACATGTCTGTTTCATCCAGTGATGGGTTTTTAAGATGAGCCAGTAAATGTGTACTTATCTTATTATCTTAACAATCTGAAGCAGGAGGCTGTTCTGCTGAAAAGCCAAACGTATTAAAGCGTTTAACAGGAAGATCCAAATCATTTTTACTTGGTATTTTCTGGTTTGTATTTATTATGGCACGATGAAAGAACACAAACAAGTTTTCCGACAGCACGTCTTCATAAGTAGGAAGCACGATACAGTTTGTGGTTATTCCCAGGAAAGGAGTGGCTAAATATTTGTGACATGTGGTGTTACTGGTTTAAAAAAAACATTTGTAACAGTCCGTATTAGGTGATTTTGCTGTTTTATGGATCTTAACGCTCCATGTAGATGCCGTTAAGGATTAATATCAAAGCAAAGCAAAGCTGCCATACTTTCGTAAGATCTTGTTTCAGAAAGATTCACCGTGCGACTTTGTTTAGTATACTTCCGCAACAGTGTGTGACGAATTATTTCTGCAGTAGACCTGCATTTTACGGCTGCAAGACAGTAAATGCCATAAGGGTGACTGAAAGACATGCTGGCTAGGATTCATGTCCCGTTTGCATAACCAACAGCAGTCGCATGATGGTCTGTTCATTTATGCAACATGTTCAATCCCAGAACATGCAATGGTTGGAATCAAAAAAAATAAAATTCTGACAAAATAAAAGCAAGAATTTGTGCATTTTAATCTAATACAAAGGAACAACAAGAAAAGTACTTCAAATGAAGTGAATGAGGAAACTGCAAATATATTCCTTCTCGCACACAAACTCACAACTGGAAAAGAAATCTGTCAAGTGATTTACAATTTGTAGCTAAATAATGAGGCAAAACAAATGAATGAAATGGTAAAAATGTGGATTATAAATAAAAAATAGAACAAATAAGAATAAAACTTTCCATTAATTTAAATAAACATAAATAGGACTGTTTGCTATTTCACCATATTTTAAAGTATGGACAATCAGTTTAGTGCAAAAGTTTTTAGTGCTTGTCTTGACATACTTTAAGGTACTGTATATGGACACATTGTCCTTTCAGGCATTTAAAAGTGCAAATACTATCAAAATGAAGCACATCTCTAGAATAATAGACAAGTTAGTGAAGACTATTGTAGAGACAAGCTGCTCTCATTTATTAGTCTGAATTCCTGAAATATACCAAATAAAACACAGTTTGACACATTACTTGCTCACATTGCAAAATATGCTGTCATAACCAAGAGATGGTTATTTTTTACAATCTCTTCTTCTCTCTTCTAGTTTATGTTTGCTTTTTTTTGATAATTTGCCCCGTTTGTCTGATTCATACTTATGTAATGCAATTCTGTTTCTTCCTGTTTTCATTGTGTACCACCGTTGCCCGTCTGTTTTCTTACTTAAGTATTTTCATGAATCATGGAGATTACCCGTTCATGCAAATGCTTAAAACTTCGTATTACTCACTATTACAAAGGACAAATGATTTGATTTACCTCCAAAGTTGAATAAAAATCAAATGCAGCCTCTGATGTCATACTTTTCTTACTTCAATGGATCGTCCTGTTGGAGATTATGCAATAAAAGAAGCATTTGTTTGCTTTCAGAGGGGACTGAAGGGTCAGGTGTGTTTAAAGAACTTTAACTGACATCATTATTTTTTTAGCTAAGATGAGTTTTTTAAACTATTCACTTAATGCAACCAAAAGCTGATTATCTTAATTTATTTGTTACATCCTCAATGAATGAAGCGCTTACGTGCACATTTAAATGTTCTCCCATTACTTCACTTTACCACACCTTTCCTTTGTAAAATGAAACAAGTAGCAAATTTCTTCACGATGCTCAGAAAGAAAAATATGACAAAGTGGCTTTGATTGTAGAATAATGTCTCCACAGTATCGCCAAACAAATAGTTTAATTCCTTAAACAGCAGGCAGCTGTGCTAATAAACAATTTATTTGATTCAAGTGTGTTGGGATTCATCTAAAGGTTGCAGGATATTAACTCTCATGGACTAAACTTTGCTTTTCCTGCTCTAAACTATAATTAAAACAAGGATAAGCATTTTTAATATGAGCTAAATAAGCAGTTTGCAAACTGATAAAAATGCAAAATGAAAATTGGATTGATGAGTAATTGGCAAAACTTGTCACATGGCATGGTGGTGGCAGTGTCATTCTGTGGAGATGAGGGTTTTTTTTATCCCCAGCAGGAGGGAGGAGTAAGATTACCTTGAAACCAAAAGAATACTTTTTTTGTTTGTTGTTTTGTTTCTTGTCATTTCGTCTTTGGTAAAAACCAAAAAAGAAACAAACTTGTTACATTAATGTTGATTTAAAACTTTAAAATTTCTGTTTAAAATATTTTTTGTCAACTTGTGAGCTTTGCTATATGAATAAAATCGAACCATAGTCCACATCCACAGACCTCAACACACAGACTAATCAAGAATTTCCTGTCTGTTCACTGAAATTGCTGCTACTAGTATTTTCATAAACACCTCAAATGAACCGTTGAATAACAAACATTTTTATTGTTGTTTGTTGCTGTTGCCCAGGAGACAAAGCCAAGTGGAGAGTGACTAAGCTGGGGGTTTTAGAGCGTTTTGTATTTTTAGCCCCGGCTGCAGTGGACTGGGTAGATTTTCTCCAGCGGGCTGACCACAAGCCCTGAGTGGAAAAGTCTCCTCACTGTGGGTTGCTAAGATTTCCAGTGTGATTGTAGGACTTGCATAGAGGAACTTCAGTGATGGGGAAGTTTTATGACTTAAAAACCACCGCCTCTCTCTCTCTCTGCTCTGCCTTCCACTTTCATTTTGAGCTCCTTTTCTTTCCCTTACATCAATCTTTTGCCCCCCCAACGCTCCACTTAGTCATCCACCTCCTTTTACCGTCTCATCTTTCATTCCAGGATCTCCGCAGGACGCTCACACTTCCCTTACACGATCAGGATCAGGTAGGATACATCCCAGAGCGACAAAGCAGCAAGGTACAAACTCGGAGCGGAGAACACAGGATCGTTTACTGAGACGACGGAGGCGGAGATCAGAAGGATAATTTACCTCTTTTTTCTTCTTCTTCTCCTTTTTCCCACCATGGAGTGTAGGAGAGCAGCGTAGCCATTGTTCTGCCTCAGAAACCCAGCGAGCAGAAACAAAGAGCTGCGCTCATCACTCCCACAGAAGAAAAGGTAGAAGTCATTAAAGTGTGTGCTCTGATTCAGTGGAACTAAAGTGGCGTTGAGCTTTTCCAGTGTGTGTTTCATAGTTGTGCCTCGTGTTTTAAGGTCTACCTCAGAGCTCGGTCAGAGGCGGTGCAGAGTGTCAGGATGCTGACGGACGAAGTGTCTCAGATTCAGGAGGTCAGAACTCGGCTGCTGGGGCTTGAAGCATTTAATCACTTGTGCAGAGCTCAAATGAAAGCCTTTATGGTTTCTGTGCATAGTGAACATATTTTTAAAGCATTTGTTTTTGTTTGTAGGTGCGGTACTGCCTCAAGACTCTGAGACAGCAGATGGCTGCCAGACAAAACAGCAACTTCAACAAGGTAGATTCCTACTTTTAACTCTTGAAAAAATGTTGTGCTGAATCAGCCAACAGTCCGTGTTTTACTCAGTGTCTCATTTTCTTTTTCCTACTGAAGGATCAACTGTTTTATATCTGCATCTGTATGTCTGGAAAGTGAATTTGATGCTTAATTTGGGGGTAAACTGAAAACATACAGAGAAATGCATGAGGACTTAATTAAAAAATGAACAAGAATTTGCAACCAAATCAACAGTGGAAAGTGATGAAATGTGAAGAAAATATTCCAAACTAATTTATTTTTATCTTTATCATTGAAACATGAATGTTCTTTGATGTTGGAGAGTCTAAAATATGAAATATGAAAATAAACCACAAGTTTAGGACTCACTATCTCAATAAACATTCAAGTTTTTAAGTTTTTTTTTTGCAAGTTTAAGACTTGAGTCCTGATAGTTTTGGCTTTATTTTTTCCTGCAAATGTATCACTTTTTTCTTTAGATGTTGGAAACTCTAAAGAATGAAAGCAAACTGTTAACATAAACTACAAGTTTTGCACTTTTAAAATAACCTTTTTTTTACGTTTAAGACTTAGATCTTGGTAACCTAGTCTTCATTTTTCTCTCAAAATTTATAACTTGAAAATCTGAGATTTATTTGCATTTATTTTTATTTTTTTATTTTATTTTAATGTTGGAACTTCTGAGGTTTTTCTCAAAATTGTGCCTGAACTTTTTATATATTATAACAATTCAGGCTATAAAAACCTCAAAGTAAACCATAAGACATCTAAATGTTGCAAAATATTTTGATTTAATAATCTAATCTGCTATTTATGATCTAGATAATGTGCAATATTAGAGAATATTTTAGTTTTATTACACTATATTTGCACGTTTATATTGAAAAATGTGCCATCAGATTCTCCAACACTAAGGTTTACCCAAGTTTTTCAGTGTTTATACATTAATTTTATCTTGCAATTTTATTTTATTTTCCCCAGAAATTTACATCAACTTTATTAATTTTGTTTTATCCCATACAAATGAAAACTTTGAAATATATATTTAAAAAAAATTCTATTCCTGTTTGGCCTTTGGTTTATTTTTACGTATAAACTAAGTTTTAAGGAATTTCACAACACTTGCATTTGAACGGATGAAATTTTATCACATTGAAAATAATGGGGGGGGTACAAGAAATCTGAGAAACAAAAGTCAAATCATGCAAGGAAGGATGTTTGCAAAGAGTTCAGATAGAAAAAGATCTGAAAAAATGTAATTTAAAAAAAGACTTGAACTCTTTAAAACTTCTGATATGAGCTGTTGATAAATAAAAAAAAACATTGCAATTATTTTCTAATACATTTTTTTCTTGGAGGAAAAAAGTTTTTTTTGTTTGTTTAGTTGTATAAGCTGAGCTGGTAACCTCTGTGCTATTTAACTCTGCACATTGTGCAAACATGATCATCTTTGCTTTTGTAGCTCTAAATGTTTCTGTTTTTCACTTAATTTAATATTAACTTTGCACAGCTCTTTCCAGCGTAGTTATTTGTTTGTCTTTGTTGCACAACGTGTTAAAAATCCTTCCAGATGAGCTGCAGGCGGAGCAGCAAAGCATCTGGACTCACTTTCTGCTGCTGTTATATGTGCAGAATGGTTTGGTTTTGTAAGACTTTACAGAGGCTCCACATATCTGTGCTATGAACATGTTGTTCCCTGTTATACTTGTGGAAATTTCCTTTTTCCTTCTGTAATACAAAGACACAAAGTGATTTGTGATTCGTCCGTCTTGCATGATTAGTCCAGAGCAGAAAGTAGCAGCAAACATTCAGGAGCTGCATCTGGTTTATATTTTGCTTTTCTTTGGGAGAATTTTTTTTTTTTTTTTTTTTTTGCATTTCTTACAGAAATGTCCTGAGTTTATGTTGTTCACTAGAGAATTATGTCTGTTTACAGCTCACTGCTGCCTGCAGACCTCAACCATTAAGTTTTGATTTTCAGCCTCATCTTTGTTCATCCCAAAATTTCCCAGATTCCTGGAATCCTTTCGTGATATCATCTGCTGTAGTTAGAAATCCCAGTATTTTCACACTCTTCCTCATGCATGATTTTATGTCAGACTTATTAGATTAACCACTGACAGTTTAACAGGGCCGTAACTAATTGCAGACGAGGCCAAGGGCGCCTGGTTATGTTGTAAAATGGAGGCCCCGCCTTTTTTTTTTTTTTCTTGCTGGAAAGAAGAAAAAGATTAAAATAAGCCCAAAACTACTCTTCCCCTAAACAGATTTAGTTTTAAAGTAATACTTTAATTAGACTAACATGCATCTTCTGGCTGGAAGTAATACTAATATTGATACTTTTATCTTTTGCATGGCATTTGAAACTCCATAACTTGTGAAAACTTCACTTTTATTTGCCAAGCTGTGTGCTTTGGCCTTTATAATTAGCATTAGCTGCAGCAATGGCCACTGGAGATACTGTCAGTGCTGCAAGTTTCTACTGTCTCTTAATAATTTTCCAGAGGCAAAACAGACTGCAAAGTTGTTTCACTTATTTTTTTAATTCATTAATTTATTTATTTTATTTTTTTTTGGGGGGCTTATGCCAAATCATGCCGAAATAAAACTTGAAAAATTATGTTTAGTTGTGTTTTTTTTTTTTTACTTTGCCAGCATCTATGGAGCTTTCACTGGCTACATAATAAAGCAAAACCAAAAACTTCAATTTTCTTTTTATGTAAAAATATGTATAAAAAATAGAAAATAGACAACAACCTTTTCAACCTGGTCACTCTGTTTCTGTTTTTAGGTTCCAGAAAATGACTTCAGAGTCAACAAGCCCAACAATCAACCACCGATCACCAACAACAACAACAACGTCTCACTTGACATTCAGGTTAGCTCGTCTTACTTCAATGCTTTTAATGCATCGATCAACTTGTTGCTTTTTATTTACTAATATGTATAAATAAGTAAATGTGGCACGAATCACTTTCAGTTGATTTAAATGCATCATGTGTAAAGAAAAGTTTTAGCTCCTCTGAATGCCTCCCACTGCTGCCTTTCTCATGCATTGTGCTGTAGTCAGCACTTTATAAGAGCTGCTGTAAACCCACACCATTATCTCCAGGACTGTGGGCGTGTGGGTTGATGGCAGGTAAACCTGGGTCAATTTGCACTGCCCTCCTTCTCTAAGTAATCAGATTATATAACTGTGCAGGGAGCAAAGTGGAAAGTGTAATTATTCTGCTCTCTAAAGCGAACGTTTAAAGATATAAGATTATATATATAGACTGTTTAAAAGCTGCTGTTTCCTACGTCTAGACCTGCTTTATCTCATCCTCTCAGGCTTGGGTTTGACTTTACTGAATATATAGGGCATTGTTTATTATTTTATAGATTGTAATAAAAGAATAAACAAATTGTATACAAAGAAAATGCATTTAAAACAAAAGCAAGCAGAAGAACACCAGAGAGAACTTATACATTCAATGAAATGGCAAAAATTTACTTTTATTGGTACCATTAACCAATAAATTAGTATTGGTGTTAATTTGGTTTGGATAGTATTTCTTTTAATATTTGTAATAAGGTGAAATATATACACAATATATATATTTCACACCTGTATACTTTTATTGTGAAGGGGAGAAGGTGAGGTGAGAAGACACCAACGGTTGTACCACATTGTACTTTTGGTTTTGTTTGGAAGATATTGAGATAAGACTCAAAGTATTTTTTTCGTCTTTTTCTGCTGACTTCCTCAAAATGCTCTTTTTTGAGTCTGTGTAGATTGAAGGGTTTCTCAAACATGCAAGAAAGAATCAAGACAGCACTCCAGATGTGTTTTTGATGAGGGAATAAAATTATATTTAAAAAAGCCTATTTTTACATAATACTGCCCCTCTAACAACTATAGTGAAGTTTTGTAGTTTTTGCACAGTAACTCCTATGAGATAAGACTAGAGAACAGTAAAGAATGTGGAGAGCGGTTTCCTGTTAAATCGGACTCGATTGAACGCGTCTCTCTTTGTCCGTCCACTCTCTCAGCTCGAGGACAATCAGGAGGACAGCGCCAAGCTCCGAGAGGCGACGCGGCGTCTCTACGCGCAGCTGAAGGAGATGGAGAAGCAGCACCAGGAGGAGCGGGACAGACTGGAGGTCAGAAAATGAGTAACTCGACTCGCCCACTGTGACTCACCGCTCTGCTACTTTCACGCTGCTTTAACTGTTATCCATTAATATTACCTTCAGAGTCCATTACTCATACTCCGGTGCGCCACCCTTTATTGGTTTTTGTTAAAGATCTGTCCAGACTTGACTAACATTTTTGCAATGGGTTCTTTTACATCACACTCATTGTTGAATATGAGACAGTTTTCTCAAAAAACTGACTCATCTAATTTACTTCTTGTGTCTGCAATCTAAAAATCTGGAGAACTTGGAAAGCCAAAAAAAATCTACATTAATTAATTTAAAAAAAAAAAATTTATGTCGTTTTGCAGCCATGCTTAAGAGATTGTTTATCTCCATAAACCCAAAATCTATTTAAAATCGTCTTCATATTAGTGATTTGCCCTTTTTACACCTTAATCTTTAGCTAATTAATAGTGCTGTGAACTAAAGTTAGATTGGGAAAATTAAGTAAAAATTTTAACTAAAATATTTTTTGCACAACTCACACCCATAAAATCCCATCTTAAAACGTTTCTATAACATCTGATTGGAGACATGTGACTTTGTTTCTCTGGGGTGTAAATATAACATGTAAATATAACTTTCAGTTCTTGGCACTGATAATTTTCCGAACCCCAAAAACCATTAACTTATTGCCAAAAAACAGTACGGTTATTTTAATAAACTCTTGGGCTGATTTTAGATCCAGTTGAAATCCAAATGATGGCATAAAAACTTGTAAAGTGTAAATTTTGCACAATAGGTCCCCTCTAAACAGAGATCTGGTGAACTCTGCCAGTGAAGTGTTAACTGGTGAATAATTTCCGATTATTTCTCAAACAAATGCATGAATTTAAATTAAAGTTTCCTCTTTTTCTCGAACCTTCAGTGTGAGATAATGCTGGCCGGGAGTCTGCGCTTAAGCCGCAACCATGTTTAGAAATGCGACTGTGGACTTCATGGGAAGCTTGGAAACCACAAGTAATGGATGCCATCAGCTTTACATCTGTTGTACGTAGTTTTCAGACGGCGATACATTAAAGTAACATCTCTATCAGGAGGAAGTGAACAGATCCATCAGATCCCTCCTGAGAAGCTGATGTGAAGACAGGCCATTAGCTTTTAGTGGATCTCAGATTAAATTGATTAGGAGATGACTCAGGCTCATGTGTGGAAAGACAGATCATCAATTTGTTCTCCATCATTCATTCTCATGGAATTTTTTTTCTTTCTTTTTTTCATTGAATTATATTCACGTTCATTTGACTGACTATTAACTCAGTACAAGGGAGAGTTTAGTTTCGTTTTGGATGTTTAGTGTGATTTGAATCGCTAGACCTGACGCTGCATGGCTTCTTAAGGTCAGGTTTAACCCTTCAAATATTGGCATCTTGGTCAGATCATTCTATTCAAGTGTATATAAGGTGTTAAAGCTGCAGTATGTAAGTCATAAAAAATTTAAAACTGTCCCTATGTTGTGACAGTGTAATATCAGACGAATAGTTTGTGAAAAGATTGATTTCCTTCAAAAATGCTCCTCTCCCGACCAAAATCGAAAATATACAATTATTTGTATATGCAGTCATAAAAAAATCTGACGTTGTTAAATTGTTTATCTACTTCCAGGCCGAGTCGAACGAGTATCGCATCCGGCTGGCTGAGCAGTCGGAGCGTCTGCAGGCGGTGGAGCTGCAGTCGGAGGAAAAGTGCCAACAGGTGGAGGAGCTGCAGAGGCTGCTGGAGAGCATGAGGATGGAGAGCGGCCTCCTCAAAGACAAGATGGAGGCGAGGGAAGCGGAGCTGCTGCAAGTTAAAGAGGACAGTAAGGAAGAAGCAGAGAATGAGGAAAGGTAGGAATTTATTTTTTATTTGGTAGAAACTTCCATTGTAAACTCGGGTAGCAATTCGACAGAAGAAAAACCTGCAGATGGTTGTTTTGTTGTTTCCAATCACTTTTCATCACATCGTCTGCAGGTGCACAGAGCTCAAGAAACAAGTGGCTTTGCTGAAGGAAAAGATTCATCACCTCGACGACATGATAAAGAGTCATCAGAGGAAGCTCCGCCTCATGATTGAGCAGGTATTTAGGCGCTCAATCATGATTACCTGACAGTCAGAGTTAGATAGTGAGTAGTTGGAGTTAGTTACATTTACTTGAGTGACTTTTTGGTAAATAAATTACTTATAGAAGAAATTTTTACAATGTTGAACTTTTTACTTTTACTTTATTAACTTCATTATTAAGTATCACTACTTTTAATTGAGGAATTTTTTTGATATTCTGCTCATTGTGAGTAACTTTACTGAATGAAGAACAAACTTGTTTTAAGCAATGATTCACCTTAAAGTTTCACAAGTTTTATATTGAAAGAAATTTATTGGGTAAATGTTGTTTTTTGTGGTTGTTTTTTGTTATTTTATAATTATATCTATGTCAATTATTTTCATTTTGACCTTGAAATATCCAAATTTCCACATAAGTTAACATTTTGGTTTATCTGATGAGGTAATTTTTAAATATTAAATGATTGATGATTTGATCAGTTACTCAACACTTGAGTCGCATTTTTATCAAATAAATTTTCACTCTTACTTGAGTAATTTCTTTGACTGCTACTTTTTACTTTTATTTGAGTAATAATATGTCAGAGTAGTCCACATATTACTCTTGAATGTAATTTTGGGTTCCCACCTCTGCTGACTGTGCACACAGAGACAAAGAAGATGCCAGCGATGAGGAAATGAGACAGAGTTGATGTAGGAGGGATTTTTTGCTTTTTTTCTGAATTTAACAGTTTTTGTTTGCTTTTGGCCCGTATCACAGCTGCAGCACTCACGGACAATACTCCAAGAGAGGGATCGGGTCATCATGGATCTGGAGGAGAGGGTCGCTTTCCTGGAAGCTGAGGTGAGTAGCTTCCCTTTGTCAAAGGGAAAACCACTGACCCTCCAAAGGGCTTGTTCACCTTTTAAAGTAGTAATCTTTACAAACAGCCTTTGACTGCTTCATAATGTGTGACGTTATAACCACAAATTTCATTGTGCCCCTTTATGCTGATACCCCCAATTTAACTCACTAATCAGTCAATAGACCATTGTTAAAACAACAAACAGTGTCATAAAAACCAGCAGATGTTGTGGAGAAGTTTAATGGGGGGTCAGAATAACTCGATGTCAGGCTTTCCACATGTTGCACTCTGCATTTCTATTACAAAAGTGCACAAAATTTTTTGTCAATATTTTGCTGATGTAAAAAAAATAATTTTTGCAATTTCCGTGTTCCCATTAAATAAGAAAGGCAATTAAAGTCACACACGAATAAGTTTGTTTACGTGATAAATCATTCAAAACCATGTTGCTCTATCATGCTGCACCTACTTCCTGTCTCTTCTTCCTCATGGATTGTGCCAGCGGCAACATCATTGTTGAGCATGTGACTCGTGTGATGTGAAAAAAGTGTTTCCATTGCAGTTTTGAAAAAATAAATCAGTTTCAATGTGGCCAAAAAAAAAAACACCTCAGACTACCATCAAAATGCTTTATCAAAATGCACGTTTCCATTAAGCGAATTTATTTACAAAATGTCAAATTGCACAATTATATGGTCAAAGAAAACACAGCTACTGATTACTGCCCAAATCATCGTTTGCACCACATAAAGCATAAAATTCCAGGAACATTGTGATTTTAATGCGACAGAATGTGGTACAAATGGTTTTATAAAGAGCTGTAAAACTCTTCATGTCTGTATTTACATACAGATTGTACAATTCATGTCAGTTTATCCACTTAAGTAGTCAAAGCTTTACATGGATACATGTTTTTGTGAAACTACAGTGTTTTGCAAAAATTTCTGTAAAAGGTAGTGATGTTAAGAAACGGCACATAATACAAGAATGAAAGTAAATGCTTTTCACTTGTTTCTGCTTGCAGAACAAGGAACTACACGACCACATGGAGCACTTCCTGGCAGGACAGGACCCCCCTGCTCTGTCCACAGAAAACAAGCCAGAAATTGTTTACAGGTGAGGAGACGCCCCCAATTTCCTTTGCAACTCATCATCAAGGTTTTTCTGACCTACATCCGCTCACTGTTTTGTTTTTCTGCAGCAAACCTTTGATTCCAACATCCCCAACCAACAAAGTCCTGCCTTTCATCAAAGTCATAGAGATCAAATCCTGAGCAACATCCACGGAAATGATCTAGAACAAATGTGTAAATGTTTTGCTTATCCTCTGATAATATATATGTACACAGATATTTATATGTAGATCTGCAGTGATGGGTATTTAACAGACCTCATTTTTGTGGCTTTTTCACATGCAGGATATTTGTTGCATGTCAAAAACAAATAGGGCAACATGATGAACTCCTCAAAACCAGTTAAATGATTTCTTGGATGTGTAACATCCAAGAAATCTGCATGTACAAACTGCACAAGTCTGTGCAGTTTGTACTTTGACAGGAAAGCCCTCAGGACATAGTGAAAAACATTCAAAGAACTTCAAGCTGCGTCTCGTGTAAAAGTAAAATAATAAGCAGCTTTATAGGTCAAATTAGAAGCTAAACTCATAGGAAACTAATCTATGAAAAAATAGTCAATATTCTGATGGTTTTAGCACATTTTTATGAGTGACCAGCTTCCTTAAAGGTCACAATGAAATTCCTCAGTGCTTTGTACAGACTTTGTTACTGTGTCAGAATGTTTCTTACGTTAAGTGGGTCATTTGTGAAGAAAAAAATGCATTTAATGTAATAAAACTCTGGACTCAAAATATTCTCTAAGCTATATTATTTTTCAATCTGAACATGCTCTGTGTCCAGGCTTAACTTCTGCTGGTGATATTTAATGAGTATTTAAATTTTTTGAAAATTTTCTTCAACTTTTGTCAATATTTCTTGTGTTTCTGTAAAAGCTGTAGATAGCTATCTATAGACATTTTGTTGCTGTTTTCCTCCACTTTTATTTAAACCTAAATAAAAAAAACCCATGATAACCTGAATGCTGTCAGTGCTTCATTTCTTATGGGTTCAATTATGTGTTATGCTGCCACTTAGTGGTTCGATGAAGAATGGGAACTGAATTAGATGTATGGTTGCTTTTATTCCTTTCCATCTTTAAATCACATAGAAACACATCTTGGATAAATACAAACCAAGCAGCATCAATAAGTTATAAATTAAATATTACATATCTGTAAAAACAATTTTAAAAAAGACTAATATATAAATTCACATTTAGGCTTTTGAAAAGAAATGTCAAATAATTTAAAATGAAATCTGTGGCAGGCTGGGCCTAATTACCCATTAGGTCCAAAGTTTGCAAATGTTTCTGAAGGGTGTGGACATAAAGGCGATGCCCTGTAAAATCCCAGTTTTTGTTGAGAACTGTAAAATACAACTTGGAAACATGCAGTCACATTTTTTCCTTTTGAGCATCTGAGTTTCACAGGGTGCTCTCCAGTGTGTTGTAGTTATCTTTGAAGCTTTTCAGCTCCAGAAAGTGTTTGGGCCTCTTGCTGCGCTGACCCGTGGAGGGCAAGTAGGTGACCTGAATAGTGGAAGGAGTGCCGCGGACTGGGGAGCCCGTTAAGTCTTTGGCTGCAGACTGGTGCTGCTGGTCCAAACTGGTGCTGCTGGAGTAGGCCTTCACTCTGGAGGAGAGGAGAGAGGAATGACTGTCAGTAAAACTGTCCTTATGCAGCTGTAAGTGATATTAAACTTAAATGGATGCAAGAAAGAAAACCCCGATTTTCTAGCAATTCTTCGGCTGTTTGCACATCTTGATCTTGTTCTTGTTTTGTTGCGTTTCTGTATATAGTACTAAATAAAGCCGACTGTAATGAGACTTCTGGTAAAGTGTTTACATTCCCAAAACGACCCACATGAGGTCACAGCAGCACTTGACTTACAGATTGTTGTGTTAAAAAGAGAAGAAAAAAACAAGCACAACTAATAGCAACGGCTTTTTGTGGAGCATTCACTGCAACTTCTGTAGATTAGTCTGTTTAGATGTGTAGTCAGAGCCAGGAGTGATGGGATTGTGATGTGATGCATTTCAAATTTATCTGGATTTACCATGTCCGTCTTTTTCTAGAACAGAATTATGCAGCAAATGTCACATTAACGATATAAAAGCTCCACAAAATGCAACATGACCGTTCAGACTAAAGACGTTTCGAAAACAGTCGGATATGAATCCAAATAAGGAGGTGGAACTTCACCACATATCTGGTGCGGTGAAGAGATCAGAACTTGGCCTCAACACTGTCGGGAAGCTGCTCAAATAATGTCTGCGTAAATAATGTAATCTAAAGTACTTGTTCCAACATTGTTACTAAACTTAATAGTTTTCGAGTCTGGACCGGCATGGAAGCACTTACACGTCAACCAGTTCATCGAGAGCTTGTCGGTACTCCAGAAACTCTGCCTCGCCAAACACCTGACACACACAGCAAGAGGAAAGTTAGCGAGCTTCCCTCCACTTTTAGCTAGAGGGGGTTAATATAACTGGTCCTTTGCCTACCCCAGTTCCGTGGCGAGCGCTGTCATATCCTTCAAGCAAGCGATCGATGAGCGCGCTGCGGCTGCTCTTGATCAAAGAATGGGAATTGCGCAGCTCCACCAGCCAGTTCCTGAAGCTGCGGCCAGTAAATGCACTTGGAGTGCCGCTTATCTCCTGAACAGGAATACCTAAACAGGAAAACCAAAAAGATTAAAGAAATGAACTTGTTAAAAAATTAACGACTGCTCTGTAAGTTTGACTAAATCAGTAAGTTATTAGCAGCAAAGCAAAACAAAGAGAACTCTGTTAGTGCCGTGCTTTAAAATGTAACGTTCAATCTGATAGTGATTTTTTCTTTCAGACCAAACACACACAGCCTGAACAGGGATGAGACTGATCATGTTTATTGATCTTAACTAAAGTCACATTCTAAACTTCTATCTCTGAGGTTTGAAAATAAATGTATATTGTTTCTGTGGTTTGTAAAGTGTAGTAGTTTGGGATTTTTTTTGCAGGTCTTCATGTGGAAATAAGTTTGTACTGCTGCCTTGCCCCATGGATAAATAATTTAAGGGGACTTCTGACACTGTTTGGAGAGAGAATGATGATTAATATTGCTGTAAACTAAACCACCAGCAGAAACTAAATGTTGAAACTCACCTGAGTCTCGAATAGCATCGAGGGCTTTCATTCGGTACAGATAGTTGTAGCAACCTTGGAGGGAGAGAGAGGGTTTGTTACATTAAAAGTGGAAAATGACAATTTAGCAGTGATAAAGGAAACAAAAACAATATGACTGACTCATCTGTGATCCCCTCCTGAGTCGGTCGTCCCCCTCTGATAGGAGCCGAGGTTCGAAGCAGATCTCCTGGACCTTAGAAAGCTTGGAGTCGATGTTTTCCCTCAAGCCCTGTCATTAGATTCATGTGTAAGCGATAAAGGTAGAGGTACCAGATCCTAAAGGTGAGAAAAGCCCAGCTACCTTCGGGGCATTGTGGCCAATAGGTGCGTGCGGTCCACGGCGGGATCTCATCGCAAACCGCATGATTTGCCTTTTCACAAAGATAAACAGCAGCACGAACACCTGCGCACAAAGCCAGACAAAGCTTCAAAGTGGAACAATATTACGTAACTGTTTATTATAATGTTCTCTAGATACGGTAAGCGACTCACCAAGCTGCCATAAGCCATGACCAGAACAACATTGACCCCGGACAGAGGCGACGAATCTGCCATTCTGTCTGTAAACTTCAATAAATTCAACGGTTGTGGCTACATTAGCTCGGTAGCTAAGGGTACGTTCAATAAAAAGCCTAAGCCGACCAATGCAGTATAAACCGCTTTATTACATGTCTGTACCTGAATAATTTCTTCTATTTAAAAAAAATTATTATACCGTAATAACGTAGTCGCCCCTTTTCATAGTATTTTCTTCCAATACCGGTTTTACCTTGAGCTAGCTTTGAACTGACAGGATGACAACAACTGCGCAACACAGGATGGTGCAGTGCTGCCCCCTCCTGGTGAGGAGTGGAGATCAAGGCAGCACACAAGGAAACGATTTGATTCATCTCAGAGATGAACGTTCAAATAAACGTTCAAATAAATTCTTCACATCACACTTTTATATTTTTACCAAAACCTCAGGTGTTATTATCTATTTATTTGACAATCTTCAATGTAGACCTTCAAAGGTTTCTCGTAAAAACAACAAAGATATTATAGTAATTGAACTTTACTTTAGCATACACTTAAATCATTTTAAAAATGTATATTGAATATACACTATATTGTTATTATTATTGTTATTATTAGATAATAGTACTATTATTATTATTATTATTGTTATAAATGGAGGAATTGTAGATGTAAAAATTAACAATGTTAATACTGCAACTGCTGCATCATGTCAATTGTTGCATAATAATAATAATAATAATAATAATAATAATAATAATAATAATTTAAAAAATCCTGGGCGAACAACCGGAGACCAAGACAAACAAAAGATATTAATTAATGACAGAACACAGTTTGAACCACAACCATTTTGTAGCTCTGTGTACTCTATAGTACATAAGAAAGACAAGTCAAATATCAGAAATCTAGATTTCTAATGAACAAAGTATGTACATCTAGATGGTTTTCGTTTTTCTACAAACTTCTGTTCCCTTTTTAAAACTGCATAGGAGACTTATAAAAACATTGAAGGATGAATTGATACAATACCTTGACAATGACAAGCTTGCAAATAAAAATATTTAAATTATAAATGTACATATATGTTAGGCATATTGGGAACCCCACATTGCAGGATTTTCCTTTTCTCCTACTTATTCACACCTGGGAATTGCTTAAAATTCTTCACCAATGTACTTTTCCATGTACTTTTCCAGATAAGATATACCCTGTTATTATTTCGGGAACCTTTCATTTTTGTCAATAACACCTGACAAAAATGCACAAATCTACAATAGCTGATTGCAGATTTGTGCATCTGTTTGGTTGTTTGTTATTTCGTTGCTTGGACCTGGAGTTTAAAATACAGTTTGTATCTATGTAATAGGTCCTCCATTTCTAAACATATAATGCACACTTTACCAAAACATAACAATAATGAGACAAAAGTACTCTCCAAAAAGATTAGTTAGTTTCCTTTTTTAATTGTTTCTTTGTCTTCACCTGCCTGTGTACCTGTGGAGCAGTAGTCTGGGACTTGTTTTGATTTCCTCAGTGAGGAGGACACATGCCAGCTGCAGTTTGTTTCTTCCACGCTGTCGCCTCCTGTGTTGTGCATCAACATCTTCAGCATGTCACAACTCGGTTGATGATATTGAACTATACATATCCGAAAGTGGTCACGTGGTGTGGCTCCCGTTTCCTCGAAGCGGCTCTGTGAAAAACCACGTGACGCAGTTCTTCGTAGTGTCAGAGTGGAAAAGAAACAGGTAAATTCAGCCTCTCGTTTATTGTCTGTGGGCTTGTTAGCTCGGGTTTTATATGCATATATTTTATTTAATTTGTTCTACTAAAATTCAAGAGTTACCCACAGCCCTGTCCGAACAGTAGCTCGACAGCGAGACATCTTGTCGGCTGTAGCGGTGATATTATATTGAGCCGGGTTTCTGGTTAGTATCGCCTGTTATTTATTTCAATCTTAGCGGCCTGCAGGCCTGCCTTCAGCCCCGGTGTTTTCCTACTAGACAGTCCGGGTTTGAGGACACACCGGAGGGACACTGGCTGTAAACGTTGTAGTGCACAAACTGCTAACCTAGCTAAAGTTACAGTTAGCCGAAACGAACGACGTTACTTAGCATAGCTTCAAGTTATTAGCAACACTCTTATAGCAACAGGGCGTATTTTTTTGTTTGTTTCTCTCTTCAGCTGTGAAAGCGTCGCTGCTCGTTAAACAGGTGGTGAGCTAATTAACCTGTTGGCGATGCGGTGAAGTAAAGCCGTCCCCGGTAACGCTGCTTTCTCACGGCAGCTTTCTGAAGC